TCGACCTCGAGGATAAAAGCCCCTTCCTAAGAGTCCGCTCGGTGGCGCCACCAAGGAGCGGCAGAGCCCTTCCCACACAGCGACGGTGGAAGGTTTGGTGAGTCACACCGCTTTCGGCTCAGGCGGCCGGCCGGGCATCGAACAAAGGCAAACAGCGGGTATAGGCAGGCTCAGGCGCGACCGAGTGGCCCAGTGGGAAGACCACCATCTAAAACTCAGGAGTGTTTCTGTGTTGGTGGGGGGCGGGAGTCCGCCACCGAACGCCACAGCAGTCAACCACTCGTGTGAAGACCCCCATTTAAGCCAAAGCTTTGCTAGCGGACGCCTCGCTCGGAAGCGCTGTGGCACTGTGGGATGTGGCCGTAAAGCGGCTGTCGTCGCATTGCAGCTAGAGGAGGAGGTCGCCGATGCAAAACTGCCTTTCATTTTTTGCTTTCGTTTTCTTTGTTGTTATTATTGTTGTAAGTCAATTGACTCCATCAAATGCAATTCGTGACGAATATTCGAGGTGGTGAGATGTCGATCGAAAGTGTTCTTTAGCAAAAGTTTTTCAACGCCGCCGCGACGAAGCTGTCGAATGCGGGAGGGGTACGAATTAATGCCGCGCAGATGGGCTCTGTCATAGCGCGTATTTTTGTGCGAACCTGGTATTTCAAGTGGCGCTACTTTCTTAAAAGCGGGCGTGTCAAAGGGGATCGCTAACACCCATTTCCTTCTAGCTTTGTACCGAACTGGTTAGATGTCTTGACCTTCTAACTTTTTTAATGAACTGGTTATCTTACTTAGAGATATAACTTCGTCGAGAGTTCTTCAAATTTGTACTTGTCTCCTACGTTAACGGGAATTACTTGTACTGACGTCCACGACTTGAACTTAGGCTCTTCACTTCGATTTGGTCACGTTAATTTGTCACTTCTACTTCTGGCACTCGGTTGATTGATTAGTGAATGTTTTTTTATCGCGTGAGGTGAGGGTGATCTGCCCCCATTGGATGGCAAGATCCACGCTCGGGACATTTTCGGCATTTGGGACTTGCGGCATTTTCCACAACCAGGAATTTTTCACCAGAGGAACACTGCCCCAGCCGGGACACGCTCTAAGCTCCCGAATGGTCTCCCGGCATGTGAGGTAGTGTGGTGCTTGTAAGTGTGTGTGTGTGTAAGTAAGGGGTGAGGATAGAACAAGGAAGTTAAAGGAAAGATCGCGGGCGGTCCATGGCCCGTTTGTTAGGGTACTACTCCGGCATTCGCATGGTGTTGATCGGAGAAACCACGGAAAACTACCGATCAGAGCTAGAATTCTTCTCCAGACAGAGGCTGAATTCTACCTAGCTATGTAGCTAGTATCGAAAATCCTGCCGCCGTCGGAACACGAGCCCTTGGACGTCCCGGTTAGAGACACTGTAGTGACATCAATTGATGCTCTGGGCCACGTTTGCCGGTCTGTCACTCGAAATCCATTAATTCTTCCGAGAAAGTGAGATATCGATGGCCGAGAAATTTCCACCCAGCAATACGCGGTACGGGAGAAAAGTAGGCGACACATTGTGCGCGAACCCCCGTATTACCCGTTTCGAACGGTCTGTAGTTATTTTATGTTCGATCTTGTGGCATTTATCCAAACTGCACAAGCATATAATAAGAGTGGTCTAATTATGAATTTAAATATAGTTAGGCCTGTGTTGTATGGAAGTTTGGCTGACCTAATTATGCTTTTAGTGTGCCACCACATTTGAAAACCTAACTCAATTCTTACTTTTCCACACGCCTGCGCAACCCTCCTAGGAATGGTGCGATGCGGGTGGACCGCTTTCCCTCTGAACGTTCACCTGTTCCATACTTCCCTTTTGTCTGTTGCGGGACTGCGTAATGTACTAATGTACTGCAGGCGCTATCGGTGAGCGACAACCAGTATTTTGAAAACATATTTTATGAAATATGTTTTTAATAAAATTATCGAGAAATTGATAAATTTAGAGCAATTT